CTTCTTGCAACTTGTGATGTCCGATTTCAAGCTGAATAGATGAATTGTTGAAGCTCGACTATATAATAAAAACGAAGATGTATGATCAAATCGTATTAAGATCTTAAGATTATAGTCGGGATCCTAAGATTCCAATATATATCTTGTTTCAGATAGATCCTATTGTAACGCCCGTAGATTCGGGCTAGTCAATTTAGAGATAATAGGGTCGAAAACGACTTTTCGACAAAAAGATTATTTAGAATAAATAATCTTAACCAAGTTGTAGAATATGTCTCAAGGTTTCCGTACATAGAAAGAACGCCGAAATCCGAGTTATAACGAAGAAATTATGACCCGTTGAAGTTTTACGGGAAAACCGGCACGGCACCGGGAGACGTAAATAGTGAATTTACGATAGAGCGACTTTTAGCCTTAGCAAATCTAAACGAAAGTCGTAGAAAACGTTAAACCGAGAGCGTGCATAAAAAGAACGTCTAAATCTGATTTCGTATGAAGAAGTTATGATTTTTTCGAAATTTCGGCTTAGCAGTGTAAACCCCGAAGTTCGAATATGAGATCGAGCGATATTTAGCCGAAACAATCTAAACGAGAATCAAAGATCTCGTCGTTAGTAGTCCAACGGTAAAAAGACAGACGAAAACGGACGTCGGATGAAGAAGTTATGATTTTATAACGAAGTTTTCCTGTCCCGGCCTACTAAAAATAATAGAATATAAATAAAGTCAAAATTAGCCGACGGAGTCTAAATGAAAGTTGTAGAGCATAATCTCACCTACGCGTGGATATAAAGAACGTCGAAAACGGAGCTCGTATGCGAAAGTTATGAATTTTTGAAGATCGTGGCACGCACACCAAAGCTTATCAGAAGCGTACGCCCCGCCTAGCGCTTAGTACGCCCAGCGTACTCCGAAATTACGCCCAGCGTAATCCCAGTTTCAGCACCCTATAAATAGATGTTGAGGGCTGCCGAATTTATTTACTCAAATCTTCCTTTCTCTCTCATTTTTGCATCGTTTTGCGTGCAAGAAATATCCCGAAGCCCCGAAGATCCCAAGAAGCAAAGTTTCCGAGCCGCGACTCTGCCCGCGTAAAGCCCGATTTTGGAGAAAACGTCCCGATTTTATCGGAAAAGATTATTTTAAGAGACGAGGTGCTGTCCGATCATCGTTTTATCAAGTAATGGCACAAGAGTATAAGTTGGTGGACTTGACGAGAGATTTTTGGATTATAGATCAGTAGTTATAAATAACTGTTGTAAGGTCTATTGTATACTGTTTATGTTTTTGGTCTGTATCGGAACATGACATCCCGAGATTTTGTTACTTAATGAAAATACATTTCTTTAAAGAAATGCTTTGATAAATTTTTATCATATTTTGTTTTGGGAACAAATTCCGCAACCGTTTTCTTTAAACGATTACTCTGATTTTAAAACAAAGCATAAACAAATCGGTCTTTTCTGGCCGGGAAATTTGGGATGTCACAGTTGGTATCAGAGCATTAGTTTAAGCGAACTATGAATTTTGTAGGAAATTTCTAGACTTAAACTTATAATGCTAAGTGGAGATCGTGAGATGAGTGTCTACCATATTTTAGACACAAGCACTAGTATATTTTAGGAAATATGCCTAAAATGCTTTTATGTGCTAAATGTTATATGATTGCCATATGTGATATTATTTGTTCGGATCTATGGTCTGTTGCCGACCGGATCTGGAAATTTTATGTGCTCAGGTTTCTAAACGTTTAATTACGATATTAGAACTGACATATAACTTTTCGGAGTAATAAGGAGGATTACGCGTCTAAATCTTCTCTATCTATATTTTCGTCTTGATGCAAGGAATGCATGCTTATGTGAAAATAACGTCATGATGAAAACTCATAGAGAGTTGAGTAAATGGAGGAAATGAAAAAGGCTTATGATAGTGAATGACACCTATCGGAAGATATCGTAAGAGTGGTGTTTTGTCGTTAGTATATGTCAAGTAGTACGTTTAGAAGAGTACGGTACGTCTGAAGTACACCTTCGATTGGCGGGATGATGGAATATTGGTGTTATTCATGAAGTTGTCCCATCGGATGAACTTTCCACCACCAACCAAGTTGAAGCATGATTGATGACTGGAGATACACATGGAAGAAATCCTAGTAGAGTCTAAGGAAACTTATATGATTATGTGGACACATTCGTATGTGTTAAATTGTTTTGTGATTTTAGGACTTGGGGACTGCGAGACAATACTTGGGACGAGTATGAGTAGGTGTGAAAGGTAGTAGATGCATATACTACCGGAAGCACAGGACTCGCACTTGGATCAGGGAAAGTCACAAGGTTACCAAGAAGCTGGTGATTGATTTCGTTTTATTCGAGTATGTCATTACCCTTGTTTCGGTAATGATTAGTGAGATGGTTGTTATTCCGACCCTAGTGGTCATATAAATTTGAGTTCGACTGCGATGAGTATGTTACGTGGTCTAGAGGACCAAGATTAGATGTAACATCTGACTTAAGTCAGAACGTTGAAATTAATGCGATCGATAGTATCGCGCTCGTTGTTGAAAGAAGTTTGCAGGAAGAAATGCTACATGCTGAAATGTGATTATATCACATTAGAATATGAAGGAAGGTATATTCCATTATGGAATTTAACTTTAAAAAGACCGAGTCTAAGCGTCGCATCGTGCGATGAGAGGTCAGTAGAGCACGACCCATCGGTCTGTTACAATAGATAAAGGAAAGTATTTATCCTAAGAAGGAGTCCACAATAAGGACTTATTTGGTAACTTGAAGGTTACGATTGAAAGTACAACATAGTACGATAAGCAGATGCAAAATTGGGCATCGTCTGCGGTCAAGAAAGCCATAGAGTTAAATACTCTTTCGAGGAAACATAGAAGTTACGGTTATTACCTAAGACGAAGAGATAGCGAATGGAATCATTATACATGTCCTATTTTTGTTGATGATTCCGGGACGTAATCATCCTAAGGGGGAGATAATTGTAACGCCCGTAGATCCGGGCTAGTCAATTTAGAGATAATAGGGTCGAAAACGACTTTTCGACAAAACGATTATTTAGAATAAATAATCTTAACCAAGTTGTAGAATATGTCTCAAGGTTTCCGTACATAGAAAGAACGCCGAAATCCGAGTTATAACGAAGAAATTATGACCCGTCGAAGTTTTACGTCAAAACCGGCACGGCACCGGGAGACGTAAATAGTGAATTTACGATAGAGCGACTTTTAGCCTTAGCAATCTAAACGAAAGTCGTAGAAAACGTAAAACCGAGAGCGTGCATAAAAAGAACGTCTAAATCTAACTTCGTATGAGGAAGTTATGATTTTTCGAAATTTCGGCTTAGCAGTGTACAGCCCGAAGTTCGAATATGAGATCGAGCGATATTTAGCCGAAACAATCTAAACGAGAATCAAATATCTCGTCGTTAGTAGTCCAACGGTAAAAAGACAGACGAAAACGGACGTCGGATGAAGAAGTTATGATTTTATAACGAAGTTTTCCTGTCCCGGCCTACTAAAAATAATATAATAAAAATAAAGTGAAAACTAGCCGACGGAGTCTAAATGAAAGTTGTAGAGTATAATCTCACTTACGCGTGGATATAAAGAACGTCGAAAACGGAGCTCGTATGCGAAAATTATGAATTTTTGAAGATCGTGGCACGCATACCAAAGCTTATCCGAAGCGTACGCCCAACGTAGCGCTTAGTACGCCCAGCATACTCCGAAATTACGCCCAGCGTAATTCCAGTTTCAGCACCCTATAAATAGATGTTGAGGGCTGCCGAATTTATTTGCTCAAATCTTCCTTTCTCTCTCATTTTTGCATCGTTTTGCGTGCAAGAAATATCCCGAAGCCCCGATATTAATCCCGAGCCCCGAAGCAAGTCCCGAAGCCCCGAAGATCCCGAGAAGCAAAGTTTCCGAGCCGAGACTCTGCCCGCGTAAAGCCCGGTTTTGGAGAAAACGTCCCGGTTTTATCGGAAAAGATTATTTTAAGAGACGAGGTGCTGTCCGATCATCGTGTTATCAAGTACTGACACAAGAGTATAAGTTGGTGGACTTGACGAGAGATTTTGGATTATAGATCAGTAGTTATAAATAATTGTTGTAAGGTCTATTTTATATTGTTTATGCTTTTGGTCTGTATCGAAACATGACATCCCGAGATTTTGTTACTTAATGAAATACATTTCTTTAAAGAAATGCTTGGATAAATTCTTATCATATTTTGTTTTGGGAACAAATTCCGCAACCGTTTTCTTTAAACGATTACTCTGATTTTAAAACAAAGCATAAACAAATCGGTCTTTTCTGGCCGAGAAATTTGGGATGTCACACCTATTGTGGTTGAGACCGTTTTCTACTTATAAAATCTTAAAATCGTAAATCGATCAAAACGAAAACTTTAACATTGATATTATGAACAATATTTAACGTTTTGCTAAATGTTGTATAGTAAAACTAACGTCTATTTTGTTAAGTCAACAATTATGTTTGACTTATCTTATTTAGCCCTTTGGTAGTTCGTTTATACAAAGAGTAAATTACACGAATGGTCCCTATGGTTTGGGTTAATTTGCACGTTTGATCCCTAACTTATTTTTTTAACCCGGAAGGTCCCTACTATTTGTTTTTGTTATGCGCTTGGTCCCTACTGTTTGTTTTTGTTACACGCTTGGTCCCTGTCTTACCTAAAAAGACTATTATTTAAATAGAGAAAAACGGTGGAGTATGTATGGTAATGTGAAGGGTGAGGTTGAGGGTGTGTTTATTTAAATAAATTAAAAAAAAAATCAAGGAAAAACAGTATTTTTAGGTAAGACAGGGACCAAGCGCGTAACAAAAACAAATAGTAGGGACCTTCCGAGTTAAAAAAATAAGTTAGGGACCAAACGCGCAAATTACCCTAAACCATGGGACCATTCATGTAATTTACTCTTATACAAATAAAAACTTAATAATTCCAAAGAATAAACCCTAAAAAGTAGTAGACCAAGAAGCATGTAGAAGCAAATGTCCTATCATTCCCGCTAAAACTCCCAACTCATGTCTGCACCAGAGAACATCGACTCTCTTCGCCTTCAACAAGCCCTAGCTTCATGTTCTCAAGTAATTCATCCCTCTATATCTCGACAATTACTACATCTTTTTCTATTTATATACATAATTACAATTGCTGTATGATAGTTACCAATATGATCATGGTATTCTTTGATAGTCGATCGCGAATGGGGACTTTAAGCAATCACAAGAATCCATATCGGAGCTTGTTCATTTTCTCGATTCAGTATCGGATTTTATCTCATCGGGGACGAACGATGAAGAAGGAGCAGAGAACTCGGCGTTTGAGGTTCTTTCAGAAATTTATCACTACTTAATTTCACCTTCACTTGACCAGGTATTAAGTTATTTATTACTTCAACGAGCATAATTTACTCTTTCGCAAGCTTATAAGTATCTAAATACCATCACAGCATTTTTTCGAATCTGATAATCTGTTTCCGAACTTCTTTTAGAGTTTTCTCTTCATATTAGTAGTTTATAAGCCCCAACATTAATGCTACGTTTTTGGTGATACCTATACCTTTTTTCTTAGGCCATTACAGATGCATTAGCGTTTGAGCTTCCTAAGGCTGTAGCCAAGTTTGCTTGTGGGTCTACGAGGTGTTTTGAGAATGCTGAAAGGATCATTAATCATTTCGTGGAGGTTTGTAGCCCACGAGATATGGTTTCTATTCTTTGTGAGGTATGTTGTTTTTAACTTTTTATGTGTGTAGGATTTGATAAAGATCTATCAACTATGTTTGTACACATGATCTCAAAATATATACAAAATTCATAAATTATATGAACATGCTTGATCCTAGCCTACTACTTCCTTGGTGAGATGTTGATTTACTCCATTGTTAATGTTATGTGCTATTTCAACAGGCTATGACTTCTCCAAGCGATGGCTTTAACAATTCCTTCTATTTTACACCACTATTAGGAGCTCTTGCAAAAGGTAGTGTTTGCTGTTTCGTTTTCATCCTTTTTTACTTCTAGCTGATTACTATATAAGTTTTGAATGTCGATTTTTTGAAATTGTATAATTATAACTTCATGAACTCCACTTATATGTTCTTATCTACCCTAGTTAAGTCAAGATAAACGAGTAAGTTGCAGGATACATGAGGAGGATGAATGGTAGGGCTCTTGTGAGCATATATTTGGCTATTCCTGTGAAAATTGATCCAATTTTGTTCTTCTTGGAACATAATTCTCTTACTCTTACCTATATCATGCTTTGAAACTAAGATTTACCAGTTTTATATTCATTTTTCTTTATTCCCAGTTTTTGAGGTCCTCAAGAGAAGACCATTTGAGCAAGTAAAAGCAGCCCTTCCCGTTGTCCTGAAGGTTCTAGAAGTCATCTTATCAGATCCAGAAGAAGATGAAGATATGGATTTAATCAATAAAGCAATATTAATCGCCAATTCTCTTAACACAATCTGCATAAAACTAGTCAGTGGCACACTTGTAATTATGTCTAAGTTGTCTTACTCTTAAGTTTCTTCACTTCCCATCAAATCCCTGTTATTTTATGCAACAGGATCACAAAGATGAGAAGCTTTTTGCTTTATTTGGCTTGTATGTCTTGCAAATTACGGTAATACCCCTCATGCCTAGAATGAGATGATTAATTGTTATTTTTTTTATTCTCATCTTACCTTCTTTATAAAATGCAGGCTCTTATTTCAAATAGTGTGGGATCAGAAACTTCTAGATGGTCTCCCATTATGTTACAGTTATCACACTTCCTTCACTACTGTGGTTTCACATATCTTGATCTAATAACTGGACATGAAGTGGGAATGGCTGTTGACCTTATTTCTCAAGGTAAAAATTCTGGTTTGACCATAAAAAGTTCAGTTTTGACTTTTGACCTTGTTTCCTCATACCTTTGTTCCTTTTTGATGCATGTATAGGTGATGAAGATGATTATATGAGATGCTTTTTCGTATGTCAATTGTGGAGCAGCTATTACAGGTGACTTGATACATGTATTTTTTTCCACTTTCCGGATTTACCCTCATCTGAAATCACTGGTTTCCAAAACCAGTACTTTAGGCTGCGTTTTGTTACTTTCTTACATGTGACATGATTATACTAAAAGAGATATCTAGGGCTATTTTCCATGATGAGGACGAGGGCATTTTCGTCTTTTGCATAACAAGGCTGGCTGTACTGTTCTGTTATGTCTTGTCCTGTGTAACAAATGGGACCCACTAAGATGATGTCTGATTTTATTCTTTTATATATATGTACACACAGTACTTTGGAGAGACCTTTCTAATGAAGCTTCCAAAGAAGATTTGGAGGCAGCAGTCAAAGTCAAAGTCAAACTTTGTAGCAATCGAATAGAAAGATGGGAAGCAGTTGGCATATTGAAGCATGTTTATGCTTCTTCTAATCTTCCATGGGCACTGAAGAGACATGCCATTGACTTTCTATTTTGCATTATGGAAGCCATTGACTCTCAGGATCCTGATGAACCCTTGGATTATTCGGTCTACATGCCTAGTCTCTATGCTGCATTACAGGTAATCCCACCCCTTTTCTCAGGTAATTGTGATATTATCTACTAAACACTGTCTAAAAGTCTAATTTTTAAATGTTCAGGCTATTCAAAAGGTGATTGTATATGCTTCAGATCCACTGCTGAGGAAAAAAGCTTTTGATACTTTCAAAATGGTAAGTAACTTTGTTTTTTTTTTTTTGTTTTTTGGAATCATAAGGGTAAAACGGTCATTTTTCTGGTTTGACTCTTGCTTTGTAAATGGATGATGTCAGGTGCTTGCAGATGTTCCAGCTTCTTTAAGATTTGACATCTTGATGGCTTTAATAAAAAACAGCGATTTATCCTCCATGGTAAAAAAGCATGATTTATGAATTATGATGATGAGTTAATTTGAAATGATGAAATTTGTTGAACAGATTGCAATTCTTCTTGGTTGTGTCAAAGAAGAAATGTACAAGGAGTATCCAAAAAAGATTTCAGGACAAAATAGAGATGCAAAAGAAGAAAATAAAGCTGTTCAAAGTACATTGTCATTTTGGACAGTTAGTGTTCTTGATTGTGTGGAGTTTGTCTTAAAGCCACCAAAGGGTGGGCCCCCTTCTCTCCCTGAATTCACCGATGCTGTAACTCTCTTCCCTTTTATCCCTTTCATCCAAAAATATAAACTGTATTTTTTTTTTTTTCGCGGGGGGACTAAACTTGTGTAATGCCGAAAGTGTAAGGAACAAACCTGTAAATATACAGAAGTCATGTGGCGAAAGCGGTAAAAACCAAAAAAGTGTAGGGACGAAACATGGCAATATAATGCGGGGGCGTGGGGGTGTAATCTGCAAGTTTTCTATTAGACGGGGACTATTTTTGTAATTTTTTTAAACATACGGACCGATTTGTAAAAAAAACACAAGGACATTTTCTGTAAATTATGGAGACAAATTTTGTAATTTATTTTCTATACGGGGGCCAAACATGCCAACATATAAAAATCTAAAACAAATGGACTGATTTTGTAAAAAAAATGACAGGGACCTTTTCTGTAAATTACAAAATTACAGGGACTAAATCTGTCAAAATCCAAAACAGTTGTGTCAAAACTCTAAAACTAAAAACCTTTGTGGCAAAACTCCTAAAGTGGAAATGTAGGACTTTCTAATTAATATAAAGTATGCTACTATGAGTATCTTTAGTAAGAAAATATAGATAAATGAGAGTTGTTGATTTTTGATAGGTGTTATCAGCACTTAATCTCTACAGATTCATATTGATCACTGAGTCATCAGGGAAAACAAACTACACGGAAGTGTTGTTGAAGAACAAGTTGCAGAAGGTGTACAGAGAATGGCTTGAACCATTAAGAAGTTTGGTCTCTGGTGTAAGTGCTGGGGACAACGATGGTCAACTGGCAATTGCTCTTAATCCTCTAGAGTTTGTTTTATATCGATGTATTGAACTAGTTGAAGAGAATCTCAAGCATACTACTTAGGCCCACTTCATGTATGCTCATGTTGTATTTTACTGTGTTTGAATTGCATTGGATTGAGATGATGAGATGTCAACAATTGTTATTTTAATACCCACCAGCTAAAAAGGTAGGATTATACTAACTCTCTTCATCTCTTGTATTGCATCAAAAGAGTTGAATGCGATTGTATGAATCATCCTTGAAAATAGACTGTTTGATGATAGACCCGAATTTAAAATTTTATAATTACGTAGAATTTTGAGTTTTTATAATTACATAGAATCTTGAATTTTCTGTTTCTTGAAATATTAAATTTTTTGTGTTTTCATTTGTTTTGTATATAATTTTTCAATCTATAATTATTTAGGTATCATGGGGGTTAGCACTGTTTTTTTGGAAAGTAACTATTTCATTTGTATTTAAGTTGCCAACGAATGCATTTTACTTTTTAAAAGGGTAATATGTATGCTTACCTCCATCTCAAGTCGAATATGTCTAACTCTTTTGGCTTAAAATTTCAGTTACGTTACGAATTTGGTTTGAACAATAAATGTTATTACGTATTCGTTCCAAATTTAGTTATTTTACAAATTATTTTTTCTCTAATTTTTTAAAGAAATTTTTAGATTTTTTAACAACACCTTTTGAGATTTATTCTTAATTGCTTGTTTATATAGTTTTTTTTTTAAATAATTTGTCACAACTTTTTTAAGAAGAATTTACAAAGGTTGTCAAAATCGTGATCTTGATTGTAGGATCGTACGTATTCGTTCCAAATTTAGTTTATTTTACAAATTATTTTTTCTCTAATTTTTTAAAGAAAATTTTAGATTTTTTAACAACACCTTTTGAGATTTATTCTTAATTGCTTGTTTATATAGTTTTTTTTATAAATAATTTGTCACAACTTTTTTAAGAAGATTTTACAAAGGTTGTCAAAATCGTGATATTGATTGTAGGATCGTACGATCCTGGGTCATATTTCTTTTTGCTGCAAAACCCTCTCGCGTACCGGTGCGACGGAGAAATGCAATATTCATATGTGAATATAAATGTAAGACCGGTGAGAGTGGGAAGAAAAACTTGACAAAAGTGAGGTGGATGGTGACATGGAGCTTGGCAACTCGGGGAACAGCACCCCCTCACCTCGGCATGTCGAGGTTTTTGGTGGAACACGGCAGAACTTCACCGAGTTCTTCTCTTCGGAAAATGAAGAAGATGACATGGAGGGGGTGGTGGCTTCGACAGTCTCAGCACCACTCTGAGAAGCCTAAGTATGTTCTCATGTTTAGCACCCCTGCCACCGCAACCACCGTTAACTCTGCCATCGTCACCATTTCCGCCATCAACCACCATATTCATATATGAATAATCACTTGAGAATAAACAAATATTTATTCATATATGAATATACTTATATATTCATATGTGAATATAAATGTAATCTCGTGTTTACAACCCCTACTACCGCAACCATCATTGCCACAACCACCACTACCCCTACCACTGCCACTACCTCCACTACCAAACGCCATATTCATATATGAATAATCACGTGTGAATAGGCACATACTTATTATAGATATATATATATATATATATATATATATATAATATATATATATATATATATATTCATTTATGAATATATGAATATGAATATTACTCCCAAAATTATTAGCTCTAACTTTATATAGTAAAATGACAGCTTTGTCATTACTTTGCATTTAATATTTCATTAAATGTTTAGTTGGTTAAGTAATAATTAGGGGGTATTTTTGGTAAAAATGTTATTTATATTTAGAAGTGGACTATTATTTTGGGACAAACCAAAAAAGAAAGAAGAACTATAATTTTGGGACGGAGGGAGTATCTGTTCTATCGTCCCGGTACACTGGAGCGCTTAAGTGGCATATTTGAAATATACGAGAATATACTTACCTTTATATTCACATATGAATATTACATTCCTCCGTCGTGCCGGTACGCGGGAGGGTTTTGCGGCAAAAAAATATGTGATCCAGATTTGTTCTCGATTTCATAATTGTTTTCATTTGAATCTTCTTATACATATATATATATATATATATATATATATATATATATATTGAAAAAAATGAATTTACCATTTTATGTCATTTACCCTTCACTAGTTTACCGTTTATTAGTATGTGTTGTGAATTGTGACTAATGTTTTGAAGTTTACCCTTCACTAATGTTTTGAACGGAAAACTAAATATTTGAGATATTTTTCATGTTTTAAAAATAATAAGTTAAAATTATGTTTTATTTTAGATCCCGATCTTGCAAATCCAAAAACGGTCCTATGTTGGATCTCGATCTCGACAACCTTGGAATTTACTACTTGTTAAAATTACTTGCCAAAAGTTATATATATATATATATATATATATATATATATATATATATATATATATATATATACACACACACACACGTTTTTAGTACAACTTTTAGACAAATGTATTTTGTTATTATTTTAAAAATGTTACAACCTTTTTCACATTTTTACTAAATTTTTATAAGTTTTTTTTATTTTTTGTTTTTTTATTTATCAAACAAGAAACAAAATCAAAGTTATGCATGAAGAAATTTTAACCATGCTCTAATACCACATGTTGAGATTAAAACATAATCATAAGATCTATTAAACATAAACTTGAAAAGACTTAAACGTAATGAAGAACACTTACTTAGAGAATATGATATCCCCTTGACCTCGAATGGAAAAAAAAAGTTTAATTTTTAGTACATTTTGATCTTTTAATCCTTTATAAATTAATCACCCAACTTAATTATATAAAGGCTAATGTACAGGTTAATGTGTTAGGGTCATGCTCTTTTGAATTAGGTGTAACCATGCCTAAATGTGTACATACAAGTTGTTCCAACTCTTGAATGACATGCTTTTAAAATTTATGGTGTTTTTGAAGAAAAAAATGTTTCATCGTTTATTAACAATATTTATTATTACAAAATACATCACATGCATACAATGTATTTGTGATTATTTACATTTCGATTTTAAGAACTCTTTTTTTTAATATGTGTTTTAAACAAAACACTTTAAAACAATTTTGTTTCAACTAGAACAAACAAAAGCAACAACCATACACCTTCATATGTAGCATAACAATAAAAAAAAATGTAAATGTATTAACTTAGACAATTCTTTTTGTTTTTAATCTTAGAAACACGCAATTTAAGATGGAAATTCTTTTTGTTTTTTAGTCTAAACATTACACAACCAAGTATTTGTTTCAAGCATATTTAGACAAAAAAAAAAAAAAAAAGTCTCTAAAGCCTCGGTTTATAAATCCATTATGTAAGTTGATATTTTTCTCTTTTTTATATACAATTCGATATATAGACAGCATCTCTAAAGTGTCAGTTTATAAATTTATTAATTAAATTATTACTCTTCTCGTTTTTATATAAAAACACTCGATATATATTATACCAACAAGATACCCATCTTATTCAGAAGTTCCCAAATTTAGAATTTAGTGTATGTAAAAGATATTCTTCTATCACTATCACTTTGGCATGTATAAAAACAATTTTGTGGGGTTTTGTTTTCTTACAAACTTTTCAATGTTTCATTTCTCTTATATGTCATATCATCAAATTTTGAAATGTTTATTTTGGATTTATTGATTATTTTGATAAATAAATAAAAAATAGATAATTTACCATATCTTCAATAACATATAACAATACATGATCAATTGTGAATTGTGATCATCCATAAACATAAAACCGGTTATCATTTCCTATAACTTATCTTAACTCCAAACAAATGAAATAATATATTAAAATCTACGTAAGAATTACACTATACCTACAAAAATATCATCAAAATTTTCTACTTTATCTTAAATCCAAATCCGTAGCAATATAAAACTTTATAATAAACGCAATTGATATGGATTCGGTAACTTAGAAAAAACCTTTTCCAAATTAGCAAAAAGGTTTTATATTGTAACAAAATTTACATCACAGTAAGCGTTTATTAGAGACTCTCATAGTTCTTCCATATCTGGGGACATGTTTAAATCGGGCAAAACAAACCCTTGTTGTTGTTTATCTTCTTTTTTAGGACTTTGATGGAAATTTATCTGTAGAAACAAACAAAAAAATGTGAGTAAACATTTCATTTCTTTTTTTTATTTGTATATGAATGTTCTAAAAAAGTAACTGGAATATGTATAACTACATAAAAAGATATTTTTGTAAAACGTAAAATAAAAACATAATTTGAAAAGGCGTAATTTATTCAATTTGCAAAAATATAAAAAAAGTTTTTGTTACTTTTGAAGCTAAAAGTTAATAAACTCTTTAATTTGCATATAAATTGAATAGACAAAATGAAAAGATAGAAAGAAAATTCAAAAAGAAATTATATACCTTGAATTTCTTTAATTTTTGACTTGTGGCAATTTGTTTATTCATGGTTAGGCGCATCGACTCCAACTCCTGTTGATTAAAATAAAATTAATAAAAAAATGATTATAACAAACACCATAAAATATGGTAAACAATATCATATGACGCTTTTTCAAGTCGTATGATTCTTTTGGATTATTAATTGTTTCTCCTAAATATAAACTACTTTTCGATAATTACAAATATATCATTCAATTTTTTTTAAATACAATGGAAATCATATTTAAATTAACATAACTTGTATTGAAATAAATCGACAAGACATGATATATGCTTTACCAACTAAAAATTAAAATGCAAAGAAAAATAATTAAAACGTTCACGTCTAAAATTATTAAATTACTATATGTTCATTGTTTAAATAATAAATATAAAAAATTAATTTAAAATTGAGGACATACCCTATTTAGATGTAGCTTTTCCTTCAAGAGAAAATCTTCTTCCTCTTTGAGTTCAGCAAATGACTACACGATTACAAAGATCTATCAATAAACTAAAAAAAATTATTCAAAAAATAGAATAATATTAAAATAAAATAAAACAACTAACCTTTCTTTTTCTAGATTTCTTGTAGCTTGATGTGGTTGCACCTTCATTTCCCAAACCACCCTGCATAAAAAAATCGATTATTTCCACTTTCTTTTTTATACCAC